CTGCCAGCTGGCCCGGGGCCAGGCTCTTCACGTGCACGGAGGTTAGAATTTGTTGGTTGCTGTTTAGGGTTTAGGGTTCTGTGGGGTTCAGGACTTTTGAGGTTTTGGCCGCGAGTTGAGGGTTTGGAGTCCATGGTTTTGAGGTTTTGGGGCGTATAGTTGGGTTGTTTTGCCTTGTGAAAGCTTCCAGAAATCTGTGAGGTTCCCTTTTCTGGAAGAGTCTCTAGCATCCGCCTCTATTGCAGGATGCCAGTAGTTTGATGTTTTGTAAACGTAACCATGTGAGCTATTACATAGGCTCAGTTAGTCTAACCCTGAAATATTCTCCTCAACAGCCCATGTGCATGACCTACATGAGCGCTATTAGCAGTAGCTCCTTTAAAAAGCCAGCTGAATTGTATTCAAATTGGGAATATTATGGTACCCAACATAACGTAAGACCGTAAGACTGTATAATCCTCTTTTTGGGTATGGTGATGTATGATTAAACATATCTTGTTTGGCTCCAACACCAAGAAAACGATACTCAGCTGGGCAGAGCTCGATGAGCTGAAAGAGGACGATAGGAGTTGTTACAGCGACATGACTGTCCGCAGCACCGTATAGGATCATGGCGACTGTGGTGTGATTTGAGGATAGGACGGCCGTAACGGTACATATGAACCCTTAACCCCAACGGCACCTACAGGTAGCTATACGAAGCTAAAGTCCCCCTTAAGTAGATAGAATATGGCTTTGGGTATATCATAACAAGATCTGTATATACTCCATGTTCTATCTACTTAAGGGGGACTATAAAGTCTTAATGATAGCTGTATACGTAAGCGTCACATTCTTTGAGAGTGAACAATTCTCATTCTCAGTTCTACGCGAAGGCGTCTTCGCTGTTCCCTTTGGAAGTGAAGAACCGCTGGCTTTTGCGGCGGCCGATGATGAGGCACCCTGATTTCGAGGTTTTCAGAGTTTCTCTTTTCGGTTGCGCATCAGTATCGGCAGGGGTCAGATATCCCCTCCGAGTGACATGGAACAACCTCCCAAGAGGAAGTCCGCTGGGCTGTCCTTTTGCATGCTTCATCTGAACTTGTGTATGCAAATAGTTTGAATGGCCTTGCAAACTTCTCATGGACACCGTTCGTTGCTCCAAGCTTGGTCACAGCTGGTTCCAAGGATGCCAGCAGCACTGCCGTGGCGCATGTGCTGGATGGCATAGCTCAAGAAGACGGATCGAAGGAGCGACCCGAGCAAGTGGATGTTCATAATATAGTAGTTTCCATTTTATTTTCCATTATCCCAATATAACCCCAATCTAGTCTATGTTACCCAGGGCTAACCAGTCAAAAAGGTGAACGTTTGATGGTGCCGTCCGGACAGCACGGCGCTATAGGGAGCCGTTGGGGGTTGGGGCATAACCTCGACGAACGTGAGGGATCCCAGTCATACTGGTGATGCATAGGGACTTTGAGGTTTGAGACATGTTCCATGAAGCCCTCTCGAGGCCCTCCAACCACCTTCAACACGGCAGGCGTAGGTCTTGCAATGGTTTCTACTTTTAGACAGAAGCCTACGTTGCAAGAACACCGACGTCAAGATTCCAGGCGCAAAGTCCTGACTGCTGACTTTAAACCACAAACGCTTTTCCTTGGAAGCTACAAGCTCTGACGTCGAACCTTCAGCATGGTTGCAGACTTTGTAGGTTGAAATCTTAACTTCATTTTCAGATCAAGCCCAGGCAAACGCAAATACTGCGCAAAGGCTGCTAGCTACAGAGCGGCCAGGCAGTTGCTTCCGCACCTGCAGCCATGTGGTGGCTGCTCAGCCAGTTCACCAGTTGCCCGTGCCTGAGCAGGGGCAAGGAAGCCCCCTTGCTGCCAGAAGAAGGCAGTGGTGGCGGCGCTGACTTCGGCTGGGCGGTCGCTAAGAATGAGCGCCGCCGCATGGAGGACGCTGTCGACATCAAGGACGATGTTGCGGGCTTTAGACTGTTTACCGTCTACGACGGCCATGCCGGCGATGAGGCCGTGACCGTAGTCAAGAAGATCCTGCCGGACATCGTTGGAACTCATCTTCAGGAAGAGGAAGATGTAAAAAAGGCTATCTGCCTGGCTTTCAGGCGCATAGACGAAGAACTTACGAAAACGCTCTTGGCCGCAGCTGACACGCCCGCGAAGGTAAAGATTTCGTCCGGCACAGTCGCATGCATGGCGCTGCTCAAGGGCAAAGACCTATGGGTGTGCAACCTCGGCGATTGCCGCGCCGTTCTCTGCACGGGTGGCACCAAGGCGCATGCAGTCTCCAAGGACCATGCGCCGGAGAAGAGTGCCGCTGAAGCCGAACGGCTTCGGATGCTTGGAGTTCAGGTGAACGGCGGCTACGTTGGAGATCACGTAGCCGTCTCCCGTGCGTTGGGGAATGTCGAGTATGACAGCGGCCAGAAGGTCGTGGGCATCATCAGTGAGCCCGAAGTCTTCAAGATTGAGGTGGACGAGGAGGTCGATTTTCTCATCCTGGCATCCGATGGCGTCTGGGATCCGCTCAAGGACAAGTTCGCTGTGACGCACGCAAGAAAAGCGCTGCGAACTACTGAGCAGCCAGAGGACGCCGCAAAAGCAGTGATTGGAAATGCGGCCAAAGTCAGTGCAGCTGACAACGCTGCTGCAATCGTTGTGGTTTTTAAGTTTCCCGAGCCCTTGCCAAAGCGCATTGCGAGGCCACGCATGACTCTCGCAGGCTTGGACGAGCCTCCGCCGTAGGTGCGAGATAGACATCAAATTAGATGCACGCAGCATTGATTCTGAAGAGGGCTTTGAGCCAGTCGTTTGAACACGCTTTGCTGAAAAGAGCGCAGATGAGTTGCGATATTGGTTTCTGCTCATGTTCTGATAGCCTCCCAGCCAAGAAGTGACTAGGCTATTGCATTTGAACCCTTCTCAGGGTTGCGTATGCATGCGTATGCCAAATGGCGACATCGGAGTTCTTCATAGCATGTGGTCCTATCGTGGTGGTTGTCATGTGCACAACCATGAAGGTCTAAGCTGCCACATCGAATATCTCATACGCGTTTTCTGTGACATGACATCCCATCGTTCACAGCCACTAAATCATGTTGGTTTGTAGCCGAGCGCAAGCTTAGGTTTCTAATTACCGTTGATTCAGGTGCATCACTCTTGTCATGGGGAACCTCATGCATAATGATCGGGAGTGGCAGTCCTCATATGTCCTCATCAACTTTTCAGAAGCAGCACGAGATCTAGTAGCCTGATACGGTCTCTATCACGGTTTGATTGCCACTGCTTTGTTCTGCATAGGACTGCTGGGCCTACTGCGCTCCTGCGCAAGGAAGCCGCAAGGCCCCAGCGCCAGAGAACTCAGAACGGCAGAGCCAGTCCCCTCGTGGTGGTGGTGGTGGTGGTGGTGGTGGTGGTGGTGGTGGTGGTCGTGGTCGTGGTGGTCGTGGTGCTGGTGGTGGTGGTGGTGCTGGTCGTGGTGGTGGTGCTGGTCGTGGTGGTGGTGGTGGTGCTGGTCGTGGTGGTGGTGCTGGTCGTGGTGGTGGTGCTGGTCGTGGTGGTGGTCGTGGGTCGGGGTCGTGGTCGTGGTCGGGGTTTTGGTCGTGGTCGTGGTCGTCGTCGTCGTCGTCGTGGTAGTAATAGTAGTAGTAGTAGTAGTAGTAGTCGTAGTAGTCGTAGTAGTAGTAGTAGTAGTAGCAGCAGCAGCAGCGGTTCCGGTGCCGGGTTCCGGTGCCGCGGTGATGGCGTGGGGGCGGAGCGGGTCGGGCGGGAGGGCGATGGCAGCAAATACACATAGCGGTGGTCGTTCAATAAAGAGCAGTGCCCTCTTGAAATCACCGCATATATGTTCATTATGTTTTTTTTCTGCTGCATCTCCTGTCGGGATTGTGTGATTTAACACAGGCGGCGGGGTCTTCAGCACTACCATATGGTAATTATGGAAACTGCTGGATGGTCTCCTTCATTCTTTCCTTCATGCTTTGGGATTCCGAGTTCCGAAGGTTGGGGACATGCTGTTTTCTTGCCGAAGGTCAGTACAGAGTCGACCCTATTGGAGTCGCTATTGAAGTCCCCATATACTTTTTCTACTCGTTCCTGTAACCCATCCGCTCTTTCGCTACTATCCACCAGTAAGTTTCTTTGTTACCTGACGGAGGTTGGAAGAAGAGAAAAAAAGTTCAAAGAATCGAAGAGACCAGCTAGCCAGCTTTGCTTCCATCATAAGAGTAGCCCTCTCCTCAAGTATAGTACCAATATCTGTATCAGCTGGCTTATTTGTCATTAGGGGGTAGGTAGCTTCCTTGGAGCTGTCTGCCTTCTTGCCAACATACGAAGCTCTAGAACCCAAAACCCTATTAGCGTTCTAAACCCTTGAACCCCAGACCCTACATCCTAAACTCTTTTAACGTTTGAAGCCCTAGCACCCTATAGATCCTAAACCCTAAACCCGATTAACGTTCAAAATCCTAGAGCCCTAAATCCTAAACCCTATTCGCGTGCTAAACCTAGAGCCCTATACCCTAAACCGTACTAACATTCCAAACCCTAAAACCCCTGGACCTTTACCCTAAACCCTACTGACGTTCTAGACCCTAGAAACCTAGACCCTAGAAACCTAGACCCTAAGCCATAAACCCTATTCACGCTCTAGATCCTAGAAACCTAGACCCTAAACCCTAAATCCTATCCATGTTCTAGACCCTAGAAGTATAGACCCTAAAGCCATAAACCCTATTAACGTTCCAAACCCTGGAACCCTAGACCCTAAACCTTATTAATGTTCTGCACTCTAGACCTAAAACCGTAAACCCGTAAACCCCTAAACCCCAAACCCTCAAACCCCTAAACCCTAAACCCGTACACCCCTAACCCCCAAACCCCTAAACCCTGAACTCTAAATAGTAGTTTCCATTTTCTTTTCCATTATCCCTGTACTACCCCAATATAACCCTCATATTACCCCAAATGGGTACAAAACCACCTCCAAGGCCGCAAATGGAGTGGCCGGCATCCGCCGAGGAGCTCAGCAAAGCTTCTGAGGACCAGATCAAGGCGGAAGACTTATTGCGGGGTTCTATAAGATAGGGGTTTAGGGTTTATAGGATTCAGG